TTTACAATATCCAACCTTCAAATTAACAGGAAGCAGAGGCCTGTGATGTGAAACAGGAAACATTTTTCAATATATTAAGTGAATAATAATAATAAAAGTGATTCATAATGTTAGCATAGATACTCTTTCACCTTAAATAGCTATAAATATATCAAAATATAATATAAAATAATGCATACATTTTTTTACGATTTTGCACAGAGCATTCTTAAAGCATCCTTTTCGCATCTCAGAAATGTAAGATTGTATGCTACATTTCTCTGTAGCTGCGAAGTTGATCTATTGTGTCTCAGATAGCTTACTGTAATGTTTAGTTAAAGTTTATAAATCCACGCTTAACAAGCTGCAATGTGTACAAAACGTTGCCGCCATGATCTTGACTGGGACCATGAAATTCTCTCTCTTTATTTTTTTCTTTAGTCTTTGCACCGTTTCCCAGTCAGATTCTGTGTTGATTTTAAAAGTGCTGACAAAGCTTTATATTGGCTTCACATTATTTATCCGCATGGTTAATTCCTTACAACCCTAATCGCAGATTAAGCAATTTAATTTGCTGGCTGTTCCTCAAACCCATCCAAAATCTATGTGACAGGGCTTTTTCTGCTCCTATACCCTTTGGAAATATTTTCCTTCTTAACTTAGAGCTCAGACCTATGACATTTTTAAACCTCAACTCTTTTTTCTTTGATTTTTCTCATTCGATTTGACACATTTCTGCAAACTATGGCCACTGTTCTCAAAACAGTTAACAAAGTGATCTGAACACTTTGTAATTGTCCTAAATAAATTCTAAGTTGTCATTCATTTCATTCAAATTACAAATCATGTGAATCATTTTCTCAAAACACTGTTTTCATAATAGTTCATAGCCAACCAAAATTTGTATATATCGGGAACAGATCAAAACACAAATCACAAACACTTATTTACCATTTGTTCAATCACAACAAACAAAACTTTCAAATGCACATGGTTTCAGCTGGTCCCAAACTGATATTGTTTGGTTAATAAACACAACACAAAATGCAGTGGACAGCAGAGTGGATGAGATTAAATCAGAGTTACCCTAACTGACCATGCAAGAAATCTTGGCCTCTCCTTTAAAGAAGCTATGAAACGGATCTAAAGAGTTACTATGTCAATACACTTCTATATTTATCAGCATTTTACTTTGATTGTTAATAGTCCTGGGACAACTTACGTTCTTTGAATGTCCAAACATTTTTCAGAATTGAAGTTTGAGTACATTCAGGTGGGCAATCAAGTTTATTTTGAATGAAACAAGAGCATTGTTGTGGTCCAGAACAACATCAGTCACAAAGCAAGAGGCCTGTGGAGATGTTGCGACAGCAGCTTGTCAAGCATGGATTTCAACATTCAGTATGTACAGTGCTGTGAAAATGTATTTTCCGCAATGTGGCTGAACTAAAGCAGTTCTGCAAAGAAGAGTGGCCCAAAATGCACCACAGCACTGTGGTGCATTTTGGCCCACTCTTGTGAAAGACTGATTTAAAGGGGCAGTTGTTGTTTTTTTGGTTTGTTTTTTGTTTTTACATGGGTGATGCTGGATATTTTTTTGGCTTCAAATAAATGAATAAGAACTGTATTTACTGAGGTTGCCTCTGTTTTAGGGTTGTATTTTGTTTATATATACACAAAACACAAGAAATCAGGATGGGGCAAACACTTTTCACAGCACTCTATATATACAGTGCTATTTTGCTTTATTAACAAAACTCCCTGTTGAAGAACTTCTTTACAAACATGTATTGTTATTAGTATATTTGTGCATCTATCCGAGTACGTTTTATAATCAATATAGATTTTGATGTTAGTATTTTTAATAAATGCATTACTAGGAAAAAAAATGCAGTGCTTAATTTTCACGGAATGCCAGGAGAAAACAAGATTAGATCCAAGTGCAGTTTATTAAGGTACAAATAAACTGAACAGAACAAAAACGTGGTAAAAGGTAATCCAAAAACACAGGGAACAGAAAACACGATGTAACCTCAAACAATACTGCAGCCAAGACAGACAGAGTGAGCATGCTATAAATAGTGATGGGATGATGAGTAAATTACCAACAGGTGATCATGATCAGAACAGCAATGACAGGCAAGGGGGGACTATGGGAAATGAAGTTCAAAACATGTAACAGTTAAACGGGAGAGCGCACTCAAGTGGCCAGTCCAGGGCACCACAACCAGACACTGTGACATTACCCCCCCGTGGTAAAAGGTAATCCAAAAACACAGGGAACAGAAAACACGATGTAACCTCAAACAATACTGCAGCAAAGACAGACAGAGTGAGCATGGTATAAATAGTGATGGGATGATGAGTAAATTACCAACAGGTGATCATGATCAGAACAGCAATGACAGGCAAGGGGGGACTATGGGAAATGAAGTTCAAAACATGTAACAGTTAAACGGGAGAGCGCACTCAAGTGGCCAGTCCAGGGCACCACAACCAGACACTGTGACATTACCCCCCC